AAAAATCAAAACTAGTTTCGACTTATGGCGAAACCTTTTGACTTTCGCACGGTTGCGAAACTCTCTAATTTTGGAAAACCAACACTATTCTACACTAAAATTCCAGATGTAAAAATAAATTTTAAGAAAATTTTTTTTTAGCCGGCTAAGCCATGTAAGACATCTAAGCCAACTAAGACGATAAATTTCTAAACATTACTAGGATAGACTTATTTTATTTAGATTTTTAGTTGCACTGAACTTTAATTCGGAGAAAATTTCATATTTCATTTCTCTTTCTGATATAAATTAATCATCAATTAAAATATTCGTTTTAAACAAAATGGAATCAATCAAAGAAAAAAAACCAATACTAACGATTTATCGTTGCAAATGGATTGTCATTGGAGCATTTACAGTATTATTAATAGCTATTTCTGTTGTAGAAAATCACCAAGTCAAATTTCAACACTACTATACGTACTATATGCACTATACGCACTATACGTATAGTATCGTATAGTATTCAACTATATGACATGTGCCCATCTCTAGTAAAAAATAATAAATCTATGGAACTTTTACAGCAGATGGAAATTGTTTATTCCATTCAGCCTTCTATTATTCTGTATGGAATGAAAGCCAATTTAGACTTGCTGTCATCATAGAAAATGTTAAAAGATATTTAAACATCAAAGCTTTTGAAACTGGTATTACTTAAATGATGTCAAACAACTAGTTCATACAATCCTTCAAAATCATCTGACAAACTACTATTATTTTCGAACAGCCTTTATTTGTTCTTTGGACAAATACATTAAAATAAAAATACAAGCAGACAGTCTTAATGTAAAGTGTGAATGATCCAGAGGAGAGAAATCGAGGAATAAAAAAAATTGTCGCTACTTGACATTGGTCAAACTCCTTGTAGGACTCACCCAAGCCCATCCTGAAAATTTTTAAATTACGCACTATAAAAAATCTATGCTGGAAATTTCACAACAGCAGCGACATTATCCCATATTTGTTATATTTATTTCATTGTTATACATAGTAATAGATAAATGGGTATTATACAGTTCACTCTATAAAGGATCGTTGAGACTAAAAGTTAATTAACTTAGTCAGCCAAGGTTTTCTTTACTGGCTGATATTACTAATTCTAATTGTAGATGAATAAAATAATTGAATTATTCGTAATCTCAATTCGAATTACAATTGATCGTTCGATGTGACAAATAGAACCCAGATAGCAAAAATAATGATTTTCCAAAAAATGATTAGAATACTTGAATTGATTGCAAAGCATTAGTTTTGATTCAAATAAACTTTATTTGATAGAAACTTTATTTAAACCACTTGTATTTTATGACAGAATCCTACTCATTGTTAGTATCTTTGTATCATAGCAAACTTTGTCACGGCAGTAACGGGGTTTAAAATGTTTGTTCCGCACATTAAACGTATGACGAAATTAGTAATTTTGGCATATCGAATGTTAAATATTAAAATGAAAATCTTATTTTACATTGTGTCAAGGTAAGTTTGTTTACCCAAAATGTTGTGCAAATCATCGGATATGTCCAAATCATATAAATGAATTTTTTTGTTTTATTTTATTTTGAATTGCGCTAAACTTTAATTTGGAACAAATCATATTGAATAAATTTATTTATAAATGTCAATGCAAATTATCAATGGAAAAGTTCACCTTTGATTTCTTTCTTTCTAATACTAATATAAATTAATTATCAATTAAAATGCTTCTATTAAACAAAATAAGATCATTTAAAAAAATGCTTCTTTTAAACAAAATAAGATCATTTAAAAAAATGCTAACACCAATTTTTTGTTGCAAAGTGATTATTGTTGGAGTATTTGCAGCAATATTATCAACTCTTTCAGCCGTACTCACAATAGGAGTCTTAAATGATTTACCAACTATTACCACTGGTAAAAAATAATTTAGCTAGTGCATTTTACAAATATTTACGTGTTTAACCCAAGTCAAATTGGATTTTTTTTACCTATATACAACAGAGCATTCTTCGATAACGGAATTTCCTTCGCCAGGTGAATTTAATTGATCAATGAACATAAAAGTACTAATATTGACTTCTTTTTTAACTAATGTTATCGTTCATTGTATAGTGATTTCCATGCAGTTCAAAAAAAACTTCACGATTAAATGCCAATTTCAACTTTATGATTTTTATGGTAAAATCAAATTATGTGTTATGTACTACATGATATATATTCATTCGCTTATTCATTTTTAGAGGATACCAGCTCTATTTGTTTAGAGCATATCACCCAACCAACGTTTCTTAATTCAGAATGGACTGGGAGATTTTCGCCAAACAACCTGGTCTTTCCCAATACTCAACCGTTTCGTCAGTTGAAACGAATCCTTTTTAAATTCGAAATTGATGGTGATGGTACTGTAAATGGAGACCTTCCTACATTCACAATCAACATTTTTGATTCAGGTATGACTTATTAAAAACTGATTGATCGATTGATTGATTGATTGATTGATTGATTGATTTTTTAAATAGGCAATATGACAACTGCGGAGGCAATGTATGTTGAGGCAGCTAAGGATACCTATTTCGAGGAATCGTCAGATACATCTTTTTTTACGTCAATATTCCGGGGGAATCGGTATTTTATAGGGAAAAATGTAAATAATAATAAATAATAATGATGATATATTGATAATGATGTAATGATAAAATTGTTTATAATGAATAATATATTTTTAGACCTATCATGTTCGAATGACCCGAAGGGTCACAAACAGGATAGTACCTGCGTTTCTAGATAATTTTGGAATTCAGCCAAGCCGTGATACACAATCTTATATTACAACAATTATCTGTAAGTTAAAATAATTTTTTTTTTTGTATAAATCATTCAATAAATATAAATAATAAATTGCCTAGATCCGACCTCAAGAAATTCATCCTATTTTGAATCCGGAGTGGCAGGATTTATGATCGACCCACATAATTTTATGTTGGAAACGCAGACGGAACAGAGGCAAGTAAATAAAATTAATGAATGATCGAATTACACATGTGCTAAATTTTTTGTTAAAATGCTTAATTTCTGATAATGACTGTTTTTTTGATCATGACACAGAAATAAAAATGCAAGTATATTTTATTGATTAATAATTGCATTGCCGTTGCCATTGCCATTGTTATTAATAAATTATTTTAATTTTTATATTAGTTTCTGTCTGTGATTTCAAATGTATTGGCTGTGGGAGGATCATTCTTGACACTTTATGCCATTTTATTTGGTAATTAATTATATACATTAATGCATAATCATATTACATGGTATTCACGTTTACAATTGTCTTCATTAATTGTTTTAGGTGTTGGTCCAATCAAACCATGGGGAGTTGTCCAGAAATGGTTTTTTGGAGTCACAACACACGATGAGCTCGTAGCCAGACTAGGATTAAACCCTGGATCTTTACTTTCTAATGATGAAATGGATACAACTACTGCTAAAGATACACTTAACGAAATGGTTTTAGTCATTGATGATTTATCAACAACTACTGCAAATGATCAAGATAATGAAATCATAAAAAAACAAATTAATGGTATAATAGCACTTCTTAAACACTATATTGTTAATATTCCTCAGTTAAAAAAAGAATAAAAATAAAAAATATGTAAAGTAGAAATTGTACAAACTTCTAAATTAGGAATATATTCTTTATTCATATATTTCATACTGTATATAAACACACTTGTAATTTTTTAATAAATTTAATAAAAACTTTTTTTACAAATACAAAAATGCAACACCTTCCTCTATAAAGTTACGAATTCATCTCATTGATATATCATGTTGTTGTGGAGGATTTGAGCTTCAAAAGTTGCACGAGTTTACCGAATTTTACTATTACTATTACTATGTTTAAAAATTGAATTTTTTCCTTATGCTACAGATCTTTTGTCACGTGAATTTTCCAGATGAATGGAAAGAGAATTCATTCTTTATAAAAAAATACAACAAACAGCTAAGTTCATTTATTTCAAATTTAATAAATAGACTATTGCATAGAAATACACAAAACTTGCTATATCCCACCTAGCACCAAAAATAAATTTCATGGAAATACGTTTCACCAGGAAATATCATGACCAAAAAAAATTTATTGCATTTTTGATTCCCACAACTGTGAAGAATTTTTAATACATATACCAATACGTTATTCATTCATTATATACTTAACCGGTTATTAACCTGTTAATGAGGTTTTTTCTATAATTAGTCGTTTAACTGTAGATCCGATTTTGAAGGGAACAAATCAGATCATTGCATGTTCCGCATGCAATAATGGAAAAATCAGAATGGTTACTGAGTTTAAAATGGTGAACAACCACTCTCAGTTTTTTAGTCATTTATGATGCAGTTTCTGTGTACAATAAATACTAATAGTATGATTTATTACTAGGAGGATATTTTTAATTGTTGTATTAGTATACAATAAGATAATGCTACCAACTAGAATATTTTGGTCG